AAGCCGGATGGAGCTCAGAAGGCCCTGGCTCAGACAGTCCAATTAAATGAACTTATCTTAGAGAAAACTCCATCTTCATAAACCCCAGTGTTAAAGGTCTTTCAAGCGAAAAGTGAACCAGTACTTACCTATGGGGCAGAAATATGGGGGTTAGTTAAGTTGCCTGGGTTGGAAATCCCTCAAAATAAGTTCTTGAAGAGAATCTTGGCAGTGTCCCCTGGAACCCCAACATTCGTAGTGAGGGCAGAATTGGGAGTACATGTGATTGGCACAAGGGCCATGTTGAAGACTGTTTATTACTGACTAAGAATAATCGAGATGGATGAAGGGAGATTAGTAAAGGTAGCGCTAATGGAGCAGATTATCTCAAGTAATAAAAATAATTGTTTATCAAGAATTTTTAAAGCAGGTGTCAAGCTTTGGTATTCCTTTAAACTGGCAGCAGCACGATCTTAGGCAGACCAGAACTTGGATTGCACAGAGATTTAAGGACATAAGTGCACAATCAGACATTGCACAAGTGACAGCAGCAAAAGTTTGCCCCTGGTTATCAGTAAACAAACACATTTTTAAAATAGAAAAATGTTTAACTTCTCCTTTATCTCCCGTCATCAGGAGATTTTTTTTCCAAATTGAGATTGGACCAACTTCAAACAAATATGCTTTGGGGCAGGTGTAAGGGGATCCCTGCAAGTGAAAGAGTCTGTTTATGTGGGACGGGGGAAGTTGAAACAATGTCCCATGTAATTTTTGATTGCCCCTTGTACTCAGATTTGGGGGAACACCAGTTGGGTAGGATCTTTTATACCAGTACCCCTAAGTCTAAAGAGCACTTTTTTGCAACATCGTTTGTTAGATACTAATTTGCAGTTGGTGAAATGGATTGCCAAATTTACTGTAAAGTTGATGGAAATAAGGACAAAGTTGGTGCCGCAGAACGTGGTAGATTGTAGGAAAGACCACGTGACGGGGTAGATGAAGGGGTGACATTGTAATATAATTTTAAGCATATTTAATTTGTTTCTTAAATTATTGCATTCTATTCTGACTATTTTTTTAAATTGTATTTTATTCCATTTACATTTTAAATTGTGGTCTGTTTCAATCTCATTTCAAACTGTAGTTTTTGTCTCTGGAACTTGGTGTTTTGATATGGCCTAAGGGCTAATCAATAAAGATTGATTTGATACTAAAAATAAACCAGGGCATGGCCTTCTTGACAAGCCAGGCATGTTGCTTATTACCTTCTTAGCATGCTAAATGTTTTAAGGATGTGAAGTAAATATTGCTGAACATTTGCAGGTCTCCCAATAGACCAATTGAAGAATTTTGAGGAAAAGAACAAGGAGAAGTGTGTGTCTTGAGCATCAATTAATTATGGGTGGGTTTTTTGCCTTTACTTCATCTTTTCCTTTTTAAAGCAAACATTAAACTCAAATGAATAAAGTGGGTAAGTCTTGCCTTTGGGGCATCCCTTCAATCTAGTCTTAATATGTGAATTAGAAGAGGGAAAGGGGGGGAGGGGAGTCAGTGGGGGCCATGCCACGCCAGCAAAATTGATCTCTGTCCCTTTAAACTCTTGTTCAAACAGTTTGGTTTGTTTTCAAGCCAGGCACAGCATATTGATTCAGGAAGACAATGATACCAGCTCCAGGACTCTTTTCCCTTCGCTACGAATAGGACAGCTTACCTTAGTAACGGTAGGGGAGAAATGAGATGTTTTGAATCCTTTTTCTGATGTTCAGTTAGGTTTTTGTTACTTTAGATTTCTCTGTCAGCTGCATGCTTATTATGACTAAGTATATTGCAGTTCATTATGACCTCTGGAGTGCCCATAAATATTTCTTGGGAATATTTAATTGATAAATCATATATTGCCTTGCTTCATTTGACTCTCTAAACACACATTTATATGCTTTGTTGAAACCTGCATTTTTTCTAGCATTCTGTTGCCCGCGGTAACTTAAAAAAAAAACTTATCTGAAAGCATTATAAATTTGAGCCCAACCTCTACCAGGTGCAGTTAGATTTTCAAAAATAATTTTATACCTCTGATTTTACTGTGCAATTTGATTTTAAGTGAGTTGTTCCCAGATGTGCAGTTTGCATGTCTATTCATAAAAAGATCCAGAAATAGAAGTAGATCTACGGGCTATCTATTTACATATTGCCTTAACTATTTCACTCGGTAGGATGTGGGAACATGGATATGGTAATCTGAAGGGGATATCAGTATGCAGGCTGTGAAAAGATCAGTTTAAAAAAGAAAATTATGGGGGAAGAGAATCAAGAAGCATCAATTAACAATTACATTATCTGAATAGATACGACACGGGTGATTTTAACATTAAATACTTTAATGTTTATGGTTTTGCAACATGTAGGTATACTGTAATTTTCTTCTAGAATTTTTTATCTTTCATCAAGTACATTAAAAAATGGCAAAAGGAAATCAAAAGTAACTGACGAGATCTTTGACGCATAAATATTTCTGAAAATCTCTCTCTCTCCCTCTCCCTCCCTCCCTCCCTCTCTCTCTCTCTCTCTCTCTCTCTCTCTCTCTCTCTCTCACACACACACA